AGGAACGGAATTGCGACGTAACTTGAGGACCCCCTGTATAACCTGTTTAGAAAAAGAGTAGATTTATTTACCTGTAAAGAACACGTCCTTGAAACATATGGGTGCTGACCCTGTGTTGACTACAGTGACTACTGGTGGTAACATGCTCCTAACCTCTTTGGAGCTTCTGGGGCGTTTGAAACAGCGCCCAGAATTGCTGATTTGTTGCTGACATGAGATACGTGCATAGCAACATAAATTTATCAAATCAGTGCCGTTTAATCCCTGGCTTGGTTTACAGTTGTTGACCCCTCCGAACCTTTCGGTGTGCTCAGCTGTGCCCCTCCGTCACTAGGGGTCACTGGTGTAACTTGTGTGTAAAAATGTGTTAATATGATTAAGTTAATATGATTAAGTAATTTATTTACCTGTTCAATTTCAAATGCAAAAATTTGTTTGTGAAATTTGTTTTTTTGTGAAAATGCCTCAAATTTTTAATACTGGCATTAGATAATTGTACTGAGATAATCCGAATCTGAAACAGCCCCACCTAGAATATTTTTCACCGGCCACCTGTGTCTGAGCTTTTCATTTGCCTGAAATGGTCATTTTCAGTAGATTTTAAAGTGTTCTCTCCTGTCACCTCTAATGATTGTAATTATCAACAGACTGACAGTTTCTGCCCCCTAACCTTTTACTGGCCTGGTGGAGAAGAGAACAGTCTGCTAGAAAACCTGTTCCTTACACACCTCAAAACCCCAGGTTCTATTGGTACAGGTTGAAAACAATAAAATCTCTGAAAGATAAACATAGAGCAGTGGTGTCAAACTCAATCACTCGAAGGCTGAGCAGGAGTTGGGGGGGTAGGGAGTGGGTGACGTGAAACAGGATTAGGATCTATCTATCTATCTATCTATCTATCTGTCTATCTGTCTGTCTGTCTGTCTATCTGTCTGTCTGTCTATCTATCTATCTATCTATCTATCTATCTATCTATCTATCTATCTATCTATCTAGTTTCCATGTGCTGTTCACTGTGACTAACAACTGGTACTGTTTATGACCCCCTGTTTAGTCTTATTATATTGAAAAATGCTTAAGATCAGATAAGAACATAGTTTAGCATAAGCATAAAAGAGCTAAAGATTATAACTGCAAAAGGAAAAAAAACAACAAAACGTTACCTTAACTTAAGTTTGCCCCAAAAAACGTAGCATATAGATGGCCAAAATTTAAAAAAAGAAAATTAAAGTTGAGGCTGGAATTAGTTTGAATAGGCAATAACTAGAAAAAAAAAACTAAACATAACCTCAGAAAATGTTAAAGGCTCTTCTGGCTTATGTTCCTCCATAATGGGTTTCCATCGTGGTAGTCCTTTACACCAGGTACCTTTGCTGATGCAACCCAGTGATGTGGGACTAAATGGTATCAAACCTGAATCTGCTGAACACTTAGCCTAGAGCAAGCCAAAAGGCTAAAAATAAACTTTTAATGAGTCGAAAATGCAGTCATTTGCAAACACTTACCAATGATGACTGTCCGGAAGAGGGAAACGTTTTCATTAGTTAGACTGGAGAAGCGCTAAATCCTGCCAACATTATTTATAAATCTTTCTGAAGAATCACAGCATTGAAAAGTGTCATGTGCGAAAAACATACATAAAGGAGAGAAAATAATTAGAGAAACAGTCACATTTGTCATCTTGGTTTCTTAAATGCTTTAATAGCTTCATCTCCTGCCAAACCGCTACTTCGTGAATTACAGAAGAGGATCAGTGGCAGTCGTAAAAATAAAAGAGACGGGTGATTTTGTTTTCAGAATAAAGAGGGTAATGAAGAAAAAGAAAAAAAAAAGAACAGCAGAAAATATGATTTGCCATTTATTTGGCATAATATAATTAAGTGAAATTTTCAAAAATACTAATAAAACTCAAACCATAAGGGAAAAAAAAATACATATAATGTTTTGCCAAGTCTAGGACTGTTTACACGATAATTTATGTTTGAGCTTTTCTTAGATCGTAAACAGGAACGACATCCGGATTAGGAAGAGTATGAGAAATCAGGAATTATTTAAATGGACCAGGAGGAAGGGAGCGAAGATAGTTGGCCTGTACGTATTCCGACACTTGATTCCGTACCGAACCTTACGCGTAGATAAAAATTAGATAAAAAGTGTATGGTTGCAGGAATGTTATAAAGTCATTTTTTTCTCATTGAATCATTGTTTAACTGGAGGTCGTTACTTTGAGAAGTCATTATCTGGACGTCGTATTGGTCCCACACAGTCGGACATAGGTAAACAGCACCAGCTCTGGAAGTATTTCTCACGTACAGCTCAGACTAGCCAACAAACTTTTAGCAACTACCTGCAAAAAGTTATGTGGAATGTTGCCCTCACTCAGTCCAACTAAGCTGCTCCTGAGTGGGAGGACAATAGGAGGTCAGTGTTCCCTGACCTCAACGCCATCATCTGTACGGTCATCTCTACTATGTGCTATTTTAAGGTGTTGTTTTGTTTTGACAACTAGCCATTATCCAACGCTTATTCTCTTTCGGGTTAAGGTGTTGTTTTGTTTTGACAACTATCCATTATCCAACGCTTAATCCCTTTCGGGGTCGTTGGAGACAATTTCAACTATGGGCGAGGGCGGGGTCACCCATCGCAGGGCCGATCAACCTTATCAAGCAACCGGTGATTAATCTTGCGCACCGCATCTTTGAATCGGTACCTGTTTTTTTTTTGTGTTTTTTTTTTGTTTTTTGTTTTGATGTTCCATCCTGACATTTTGACCAGTATCGAACCGATATCGATTAATTTGTTGCCCCAAGCTGAATCTCACTGCGATGAAATGGATATCTCACACGTGCTCAGTTGTGCATCTTCGCCACAAGGGGTCACTGGTGTAACAGTCAACAGTCTTGTGTGTAAAAATGTGAAAATATGATGTTGGCAATTTCTAACTTGAGTGGATTCAAAATAATATTCCTAGATCTTTCTCAATTACTGACCAGAAATTCTATAGCAAGTATGTTCTATTTTTCAAAATTCTATTTACCTCCATTTGTATCCTCTTACGCATGTTACTGTGTCCTAAAATAAAATAACTAAGTATGCATTACTGTGGTACATTTTACTGTTAATTTTTAAATAAATATTTGACTCTGTCATTAAACACAACCAGAAAGTACTTAGCTTGTCTTTTACTTGATTTTAAGACCTGATACTGCAGTAATGCATCATTAAAACTTCTAACCACTTTTTTTAAAAACCGAGTTTTCACTACATAAATATCTCATATGCTGGCACGGGGATCAAAGAGAGTAAAAGAGGCCGATTTCTGGAGCTTCGTTCTGAGAAAAACGGAACAGGTTTTCTGCAACGCTGCAAAGCCGGGATATCTGTTAGCATCTCTTTAGCGATTGCCTGCCCTCAGCTAAAGGTGTTGCATATGTATGCGTGAAGATTATGCAGCAGCATGCCCTTTAATCTAACCTGTCAAATGCATAAATCCATAAAGTGCAGAAATAAACCCAGGTAGTGAGAAACCTCAACAGCATGTTGTGCCAAAAAGTGCTTAAGAGACACAACACGCCCCAGTCTATACTGCTGCAGCTGCTTTTCTACGGAACTGTTGTAACCTGCACACTTACTTACTAACCTCACTGTTTTGAAGTTGTTTTTTTTTGTCAAAGTTAATGTTTCTGGTAAAGGAAAAGTCACATCCTGCTCTTTTTTTTTTAAAATCGGCTAAAACATCTAAAGTACATTTTATACAAGGCATGTTCCTAGAGGTAGTTAGAATTGTGTCGTATCTATGTTTATTTTTAGCTAACGTGATTCAACAGGTATGGCAAACCATCATGTTTGGCAAAAGATAAACTGTCATTATTCAGATGTAATTACAGAGGTGCACATCTAGTCAGAAGTGTGGTCTGCAGCAAAACCGCGAAACAACAACTGCTGTAATTAATGGCCTTTTCTAAGGAATAAAAAAAAACACCCCACAGTCAAAACAAACATTTGCTTCATCCTTCATTTCAAAGATGACCAGAGTAGAGGAAATGTGTACCTTATGTTTTTACCTTCCTATCTATCTATCTATCATCCATCCATCTATCTATCCATCCATCCATCCTCCATCTATTTATCTATCTATCCATCCATCCATCCATCCACCCATCCATCCATCCCCCCATCCACCCATCCATCTATCTACTTATCTATTCATTCATTCATCCATCCATCCATCCAGCCATCCACCCAGCCATCTAGCCAGCTATCTATCTATCTATTTATCTATTCATTCATCCATCCATCTATCCATCCATCCATCCACCCATCCACCCACCCCCCCATCCATCCATCCCCCCATCCATCCATCCCCCCATCCACCCATCCACCCACCCCCCCATCCATCCATCCCCCCATCCACCCATCCACCCACCCCCCCATCCATCCATCCAGCCACCCATCCATCCATCCCCCCATCCATCCATCCCCCCACCCATCCACCCACCCCCCCATCCATCCATCCCCCCATCCATCCATCCCCCCATCCACCCATCCACCCACCCCCCCATCCATCCATCCCCCCACCCATCCACCCACCCATCCATCCATCCACCCATCCATCCATCCCCCCATCCACCCATCCACCCACCCATCCATCCATCCCCCCATCCATCCATCCACCCATCCACCCACCCATCCATCCATCCATCCAGCATCTATCTATCTATCTAACTTGCCTGTCTATCTATCTATCTCTCTATCTATCTATCTTTCTATCTACCTATCCATCCATCCATCCAGCCACCCATCCATCCATCCCCCCACCCATCCACCCACCCATCCATCCATCCCCCCATCCACCCATCCACCCACCCCCCCATCCATCCATCCCCCCATCCACCCATCCATCCATCCCCCCATCCACCCATCCATCTATCTACTTATCTATCTATCTAATCGGCCTTTTTATCCATCTAATCTGCCTGTCTATCTGTCTGTCTCTGTCCACCTGCCCAAGATGAAAGTTTACTCGGCAAAGTTAACACTGAATCTGCGGCTAATCAGCGTCCATCAGGAGGCAGGACCAGACAAATGAAGTGTAATTAAAGCGCTGATCGATATGACGGAGTCCGCTCCTCCGACACCTCTCATCTGGAAGGAGAGACGGGAGGAGGTGGAGAACAGCGGGGAGGGTGGACAGAAGGAGGGAGGAGGACGGTTGGGGGGGGTGATGGTGAGCGGGACAGCTTAGAATGAGAAGGGACAGAGTGGAAGTGAGAGGAGCAGCCGTCAACATCATCGTACCCAGGAGTCACCACAGTTACTCTGCGGCCGTGACGTCCACTTCTGTTGTCGGCGCAGGTTATATCGCAGATTAAAGAAGATTAAAAAGAGAAAAAGTTTGCGACGCTGTGTGTGTGCGGAGGCAGTGGGGGGTCTGCGCTCGGAGAACATGGATGATTCGAAGAGCAGGAGCGGAATAAGGCTGTTTCTTTTCTTCCTGCTCCATGTCATCGCGACAGACGCTGGTAAAGTATCTGCAGATGTAGAGATGCTGCGAAGTTACTCGGAACCTCCCTACAGACAGTGGGATGAGAGCTAGAAATGTTGTCTTTATTTATTTTCATATTTCACGTCGAAATTCTGCACAATTAGTGCACTGTTGTTTGGAACAAGTCCCAAACTGGGGACTAAAGCCTTGATACTTAGTAATTTATGTACTTTATTTCTGAGTTATGTGCTAGGATTTCAGGTAATCTGCATAGACCTCATGTGGCAAACCCAAGGCCCGGGGGCCAAATGTGGCCCGGCGAGTCATTTTGTATGGCCCATTTAATAGAATCCATGCACCCGAGTTTCTTAACCTGATAAATCAAAAAGGTTTTTTTTTATGTGGCCTTCATGTGGAAATGTGTTTGACCCGCTTGGCTTAGACCCGGCATGAGCAAACTAAGGCCTGGGGCCCGGATGAGGCCCATTCAGCTTTTCAATCTGGCCCGTCAAACCTACCAGGCATGAGCAAACTAAGGCCCGGGTCCCGGATGAGGCCCGTTTAGCTTTTCAATCTGGCCCGTCAAATCTTTCCAAATTATATAATTTATTTACTTATATTATCATTATACTTCTGCCTTTTCCGTGCAGTACCCATGTTCCCCCAATAGATGGTGTAGAAAATGATTTTATTTATTTATCTTCATTCACACGAACGCTCCATCTATCTGCTCCTGACCCGGCCCCGCTGTTACGTTTTAGGACAATTGTGATCCGCAAGTCAAAATGTTAGCCCACGCCTGGCTTAGACCTTATGATGGGGTGAGGATGCGGATTACGGTTAATCAACAACAAAAAAAAATCTAAGCCAATGCAGTATCATTGAATGGAGGCAAACACTAAGTATAGGAGGCTTCACTTTGAGCAGTCTTGTTCAGGCAGAACTTATTTTGGTTCAGGGGCCCTGATTAGATGTCAAGTGGTCCGGACCAGTACAATCATAATATAATTACCTATAACAAAAAGTCTATGTTTTTCCTTTGGTTTTCATGCAAATAAGTACATGTATAGGTATATTACTAACATGGAGTGTTCATTTTGTGCATTTTTTTCACTTTCAACCTTCATCACGCAGGCCATATTGAACCCATTAGTGGGCCGGTTTTGGTCTGCATGCCATATGTTTGACACCCCTGGTCTATATAAATGAAGTGTATTGGTCAAGGACAGATTAAAGTGCAATCTTAGGTTAATCTATGCACAAAATTTGGTGGAGATTGTGCTATGTGTGTGTGTGTGTATCTTTGCATGTGTGTGGTCTTTGGATGTTTTTAATCAGTGTGAGGATGGTAGGTCTTTGTGGGGACATTTTATTTCATGTCCCACTCACACTATTTTGGATTGATATAAAGGTTAGGATTAGACAAAAAAATCTTGAATTGTTGCAATGTTTTATATTATAGTTGTCATAGAACACACACAATGTGGTGGAGTGTAATTGTCGCTGGCAGAGTTCCAATATCTGTAGTCCTCCTTCCTCCTAGACATCCGCTCCTTATTTCTGAGTCTACAATTGAAGGTAATGTTCGAGTTGGTCAGGTTTTGTGGTTCGCTTGACTTTTGTGTGAACTCGTTTTCCCCTGTCCTATCTGGGACAAGCTGCGGTGAGAATGGAGTTGATCTTTAGGTGTTGTCTAAGAACTAAGTACTGTGCCAGTACTTGCTTGATCTTGGTTACTCTTCAGGTCATAGCGATTGTAAATATCGTGTTTTAGCTCTCTTAATCTGTAAAATAGCTAGCTATTAGACAAGACAAGCTATGAATGACCTTTTGTTTTGAAACATTGCCAGATTATCTTTAAATGAAAAAAGTAAAGGGATATGATTGGACTTTTTGAATGAAGTTAATTAGTAAAACTGAAGTACAGTTTCCCGCTGTGTCCCACTGCGGCCCGGTACCATATGATCTACGGACCGGCACCACTCCCCGGACCGGAGGTTGAGAACCCCTGCTCTAAAGTTTCGGTCAAAGTGTTTGTTGTTTAATGAATTGACCATGTTCACAGCTTTTGAAAGTTTTTGATCTGACCCTGTATCTTTGTTAATCTTTAATATAAAAACACTTTAGTCATTCAGAATAGACACACTTCACACGCTACTCTTTTCCAATTGCATTGTCTGACTGCAGCGTCAAGTGTGTGAACTGCAGCAGTGGCGGTTTGGTGATGTCATGTTTGAGTTTGCTTGCGACCGGCGTCGGTTTGCTGTGAAAAGGTTTAACGTTAGCTTGAGAAGGAGGCAAACAGCGGAACCGGAGGGGAACTTCAGTAGATTTAAATTCCTGTCATGGATCTGTTTAATATGCCCCCTCCTCGCAAAAAAGGCCTTTGAGCTGCTCCTGGCACACTTACTTTATTGGCTTTGTCTTCAGAGTATTCCTACTATTTTCATTTTATTGTGTCCTTGGAGACAGTATTGATTTATTTATCAATTACAAGCTTCCAGAAAGTAAAAACAGAAACATATCCGCTGTGTCCACTAGGGGAAAAACAGAAATAACAAGAACTTAATTTGATTTCAATAGTGGTTATTATTATTTATTCATTTAGTAAATTAGTTAGTTTAGCATAGTTTATATATACAGTATATATATTCCTTTATATTGTCCCTTATTCGTACCACAACAGACCTGTTTACCACCTTTAAATGGTAATGAACCAATCCGTGCTCCGCCCAACTCTTCAATGAGTGTGCGGGGGTGAAGGGGAGGCTCCGAGTCAGACTTAAAAGAAGACATTTCAGGAAAAAAGTGCAGAGACAAGAATAAACCTGAATGCTTCGCATTGATTAGCGGTTACCTTGTGAGTTCGTCTTTACTTGGATATCAATATGTAGTTTAACGAACAGTCGTACAGTTTTACATTTACATCAACGCACTAAGCGGACGCCTTTATCCTTAGTGACTTGCAAAGGGAGGATTAACAATCAAGCTACAAAGAGGAACTCTTGAAAGGAGTGAGGGCAGTTGGGCTTCCTCGCTAGGGTGGGAGTGCAGAAGTGGAGACAAGTGCGGAAGGAGAAGGGGAGTGCGGGGAAGTGCTAGGGCGGGAGGTGCTCTCTGAAGAGCCGGGTCTTCAAGAGGTTTTGGTAGTGCGTGGTACTGACACACGACATTCCCCAGATGAGCAGAGTGGACGTGGGGGGGTCGCGGAGTGGTCGTTTTACTGACTGTTTAGTTGATAACCCCATCTGCTACCCAAAGTATTTACATAATATAGCTGGAGGAGTAGACTCTACTTCAAAGGTACAAATATCCCCAAACCGTGACAAAGTTGGAAAGCGGTTTTAGTACTAGCTTTTCATGCTAAAGCAGGCTGTAATCCAGGTATGGGTCACAAAGGCTTAGTTAGTTTGACTTTGTTATAAGACACTGGCAAAAGAAACAACCGCTATAAAAATGTACCCTTCCTGTATCCTCTGTTTTGGTCAAGGTTCCTTTGATTTACACAAAGTAAACCAGGCTTTGTTTTTTACGCTAAGTTAATGCAGCACTTATTCAGACCAATAACCCTTGTCTGCAGGCTTTATGTGGGTCCCCAAGTGAATTCCCCATATATGGGCAATGAGCTGAGTGCGTCCTATCCCACCAAGGACCACCTGCACGTCCTCCATACATGTAACCCAAGTTAAACAGTATAAGGTCTGCATGTCTACACTGGCTGCTTGGTGAGTCATATAATATTCAAGGATTGGACACGGGGGGTTTTTACTTCCCAGTTTTTGTATCATTCCTATGGATATGTTGCTCGTTTCCATCACAGGCAGTTGTGTAATAAACTGTATTTGACTTGGCACACTCCTTCCTGTTATCTGTGCCCTGCGGCCATACAGTGCGCATCTTCACCTGACTGTTTCCGTGCAGGTGCTCCAGCGTTTGGTTTACCTGATAGGGTGACATGCCTTAACAGCGAGAGTTCACTTCGTGGACACCTTTCAAGGTGCTTCGAAACGTCTGATTGTCTGTTGAAGCTCATAGCATGCACCGGCTTATACAGCTGGCGTGAGATGCAAAAATGTGTTTCATTTTATTTATGCGTTCTCAACTGCTTCATACAGTTGTGGGTGGTACAGAGCTGAAACCAGTCCAGATCAAATCCAGGGTTCATTCATCAAGCAACTGCGACCTTTCAGTCTTTCCCCATCTGGGGTCAGACCAGTATTTATATTTTGAACATTTGTGCGACAAACATTTCAGAGAATTTGATAAATAATCTTGGGCCACACAGGGGGAAGAGGTTTGACAAAGGGGGTTAGGAGGGGGGGTTGGTGGCCCCCCATAAGGATGCCTGGAGCTCCAGCAAGGGTTGCATGCAAAATATATATATGAATTAACAATATATATTAAGTATATATTTATATATTATATATGAATTTCTGTGGCATTTTAAGCATTTCCTGTGAATCTGTTTTGAGGTAGAGGGACAAGAAAATACTACTATTTATAAATGGGAGTGGTGCAGAAAACGCTTGGGAACCAAGACCTTAGAATAACAAGATGTATCTGTGGGGATCTTCTGGTGTGTGTTTGGGTGTAAAAGGTCATTTTTTTCTCTGTGACCCATCAAGTGCTGGGATTTGCTTCAGCTACGATTGTCTGCACAATGTCAGTGGTTGTTTTGTCTCAGTGGACTAGGTAGCTGTCTAGAGTGCATCTCACCTTAGGGCAGTACTTCTCTAATAGTGGGGCGGGAAGTGAGGTGGTGGGGGGGGTTCCAATGAAATATGGACATGCTGGACATAAATGTACCTACTGCTGTAATGCTTGAAGGCGGGAGTGAGGGGATGAGGGGCATGACAGAAAATGATTAAGAACCATTGACTTAGGGGAACAGCAGTCGGTAATTACCTAACCTCATGCCGTTTGTTGGTACGCCAATGTCTGACAAATAATCGCCAACACTCATATTTACAGCGATGGTCATTTCAGTTTTTACAATTAACGCAGTGCTACTCAAATAGTGGGGTGAGGGGCGTTAGT